CTGTCTTAAAAGATTAAGTCGTTTTGGAAAGGATGGCTTAACAGGAGAGTACGTTGGGCGTATACGCCAGTACGCGCAGCGTACAAGCCATTCAAGCAGTACGCGCAACGTATAGATGGGTACGCTCAGTCAGTGGGTTATAAGTTATTGGACCTCGGTTTGGGCCTAGTTTTGGTCATAGCAGTAGTTGGGCCGTGATGGGGCTTCAGAAGCCAGTTAAGGGCCCAAGAATTGGTTTGGGCTTGGAAGGAAAGCCCATATGAAGAGTTGGGCCCAATTTAGAAAATTGGGCCATTTGGGGACTTATTGGGCCTAGTGAGGATTAGAAAGGAGTGGGCCTAGGTCATGGCCCAAATTAGATTAAAGGGGTAAAATAGTCATTTTACCCACAGTAGAATCCTCATTTCTGACTAAGTGTTTTTTGGTCATGATAGTCGGAGAGCAGCCGGAACAGCAGTCAGGGATTCCTCACCGCAAGATTTCACAGTCAGCCTTACGAGGTGAGTTTCCTTCCAGTAGGAACGGGTCTACGGCCATAATGTCGGCCCGTTTAAGTTGTAGAGTATGTCGGGGTGAGCCCGATGCCGGGGTTAGCCCGATGCAGTTTATATGATTCCGGACCTCGGTCCGATGCCGGGGCGGTCCCGAGAAGTAGTTATGTATGCCTGATGTCTTTGTGATTCATGCATGTTTATGTGTTATGTGTTCCGGGGTAAGCCCGATGCCGGGGCAAGCCCGATGTATGTTAATTATTATGCCATGAATTATATGTTCCGGGGCAAGCCCGATGTATGCTAGTTTATATGATATGATTATGTGTTTCGGGCTTCGGTCCCATGTCGGGGCAATCCCGATGCAGCTTATATGTTTATGATGTATGTTATGATGTGTATGTGTCGGGGGTAAGCCCGATGCCGGGGTGAGCCCGATGCCCGATCCCCGATGCGATCGGATGCCGGGGTGAGCCCGATGCCGGACAGGAGTTCGATGCCGGGTAAGTCGATGTGGGGATTCGACCCGATGCAGTTGGGAGTAGTCCCAAAGTTATTTTATTTGTTATACGTGATTGTATGGTATGTGGTAGTTTGGGGGAGCTCACTAAGCTTCGCGCTTACAGTTTCAGTTTTGGTTTCAGGTACTTCAGCTAGCAAGGGAAAGGGCTCGGGATGATGGCATGGCACACACCACAGTTTTAATTTTTCTTAGCCTGGGAGTTTACTCTGATATTTTATATGAGATTGTGATATGATAACAGATTTTATGAGATTTGAGATACACGTTTTATGATTCTATACTTTGGCGATGATAATTATGTTTGTTAAATGATTTTGAAGACGAAATTTTTTGGCTAGTATTTTTGGGATGTTTCACAAGCAATGAGGCGTAGTATGATATTGGCCTACATGCTTCTTTTATTGTTTTTCTATTGGCCAGTCAACAATCTTGTGGTGTACCTACACGTTGGGGGTACCCCTTTGATAATCTTTTAACATTTAAGAAATTTGAATGATTCTTTATTTCGTAAACGGTTTTTGTTTGGTTGAAATGGCATGGTTTGTTTTTTATATTTCTATAAGTTAGTTGACTAGTTGTAGCGTGTTAAATTTAGTCTAATTCTATCAAAATAACGCTAATTTACTTGATAGAACAAGTAAAAGATGACATTTCTTTTAATTTGAATTCAATTGCTATTTGTTTAAAGGAATCAATGAATGTTTGAGAGCTTATAAATATTTTAGCATTTAAAAAAAACTCTAATAAAAGAAAAGGTTTCCTTTGAAATCATGAGATATTTCATTTTAAACAAAAAATTCATAATCCAAATGTTAGTTTACATAAGGTAGTTTTTTTAAAATGATTATCAACAAGTTTAATGTAAAAAAATACAATATTTTTCAGCTTTTAACTATGAGTTAGTTTTGACAAACATATCATAACTTTACTATTTTAATATAAATTGATTTTTTATAATATTACCAGTATGTTTAATTGTAAAATGAATATAAATTATTGAAAAAAAAAGATACACCTAAAATTTTGAAAAAAATGGTAAATTACACCAATCGTCCTTATTGTAGGTGTCGAAAAGTGTGTTTAGTCCTTATTTTCAAAAATTAACTTGGACCGTCCATCGTCTCGTTAAAATGTGCACGTTACGTTCCTCGCATACATAAAATGACTATCTTGCCCCTTTCTTTTTCTTTTTCATTTATTTTTTTTAATTGTTTATAACTTATCTATCATTTTTTTTATAATTATTATTTTTAGAAAAGGAAACATCCTTTAAAAAGGAGTTCAAACCCTTTTGGCCATCAACCACCTCTAACTACAATCACTTCCGGCTACCATCCACCTCCGGCCACCCTTGACCTCCGACCACCATCCACCCCCACCGGAAACCACTACTTCTCTACATCTCTACATCTCTCTCTCTCTCTCTCTCTCTCTTGCATCCTTATCCTATCTTTAAACTACGACACCTCCCCTCCATGTTCATTATTGCCATTCACAGCTACCAACCTCCATCAAAAACTACCATCAGGACCATCACCTACCCTACCCTATCTACTAATCTTCACCTGATCAAACTTGTAACTCAAAAGAAAAAAGAAAGAAGAAGGTTTTAGAGGAATCTGTGATTGAGATATATAGGGTCGAAGGGTGGGGGACATAAAACCATACTCCTGCGATCGATTAAGAGGAGGTGCAGGTGAAACCTACACTGTTCATCGTCTTCTCCACCTTACACCTGAAATCATCCAACCACCACCCTTACGTTGACATCGATTCCGACTATGGAGCTCGATGGTCTCCAAATCTCAGCCACTCATCTCTGCCACGATGGAGGCAGAGATCGATCTCTACACATATGTCGAAACGCACGGAGATCGATGACATCTGTCAAAATCCTAGCCGACGCCGATGGCAGGGTACATGTGACGAAGCCCTAGCTGATAGAGATCTGAGATCGAAGACTGAATCACAGGTGGCGGCATCGATTTTAGACAGTTCAAAACTACTTATGCCGGAAAAGATGGTAGTTGGAGTGCGATGAGTGTAAAACGTCGGTGGTTTCCCTGAGTGTGGTCGGAGTGTAAAACGACGGTGGTATCCACTGTCAGTGGCTTAAGGATGAATGGTTTTAGGGTTTTTGAAGAGTTTGGAGAAGAGAGACAGTAAAGGGAAGGTACGGTGGTTGGAGAGATATGGTTGGGTATGAAGTGGAACCACATCTTTTTTTTTCTTCTTTAATTAATAATAATGATAATAACATAAAGTTAATTGGAAAAGATAAACATAAAGGACATTATGGTCATTTCAGATATGGCAAGGACTAATATTGCAACAAAAATGTGTATTAGGGACGAAGCGTGCACGTTTTAAACAAATAAGGAACATTCTGAGTTAATTTTTGAAAATAGGGACTAAACGCATTTTTCAACACCTGCACGAGGGACGATTGGTGTAATTTACCAAAAAAAAACAATTTTTGGTTTTGTGGAATTTAAAAGACAAACACCAAAACCGATATTTATTTCGAAATACGTCTTTTTCTCTAGAAGCTAAATTTTTTTCTTTTGTTTAGACTTTTGATATTAAAAAAAAAAAAAACTAACTGATTTTCTCCATAGTTAGGACATATCCATTTTCTTGATTTTGAATTGGTCGTGTACTAGTTTCATAATTAAGTCCTTCCTAACTTGATTTATAAACTTTAGACTGGTCAAAACGATGACAGTAGACCAATCCCAAACAACATACATAGATTGAAAAGGGATTTAAGGTAACTATATTGACCAATTCACACATGATATGCCGGATTTTGGCAAGATTTGTACTAAGTTTGGTGTGCATTAGATTCAAATCGATGTCAACGGATAAAATTTTCAATTGTATGGCCCCACCTAAAAAAATGAAGAGTAAATTAAATTAATGGTCCTTATGGTTTTGGGTAATTTGCACATTTGGTCCCTAACTTATTTTTTTAATTCGGAAAGTCCCTACTGTTTGTTTTTGTTACGCGCTTGGTCCCTACTGTTTGTTTTTGTTACGCGCTTGGTCCCTACTGTTTGTTTTTGTTACGCGTTTGGTCTCTGTCTTACCTAAAAAAACTATTATTTAAATAGAGAAAAATAGTAGAGTAGGTAAGATAAGATGAGAAGAGTGGGGTTGGGATGTGTTTATTTAAATAAATTAGAAAAATAAAGGGAAAAATAGTTTTTTTAGGTAAGACAGGGACCAAACGCGTAACAAAAACAAACAATAGGGACTTTCCGAATTAAAAAAACAAGTTAGGGACCAAACGCACAAACTACCCTAAACCATAGGGACCATTCGTGTAATTTACTCAAAAAATGAAACAAGATGAAACAAACACTCCCTTCCACTTAATCATCTATGCAAAAGGAACATAAATGTTAACTCCATTCTCACATCATCAATCGAAGACCACTTGCAACTTCGCAATGCAATCTTATCTCTATGATCCATATCATAACAACTTCATCTATTCTCATATGGCTCTACTTGAACCTAAAATCTCACTTATGGGTGATTTGAAAATCTCACTTATGGGTGATTGGACGTCACCATGTTTGGTGTACATTGCACTGTGCAAATAAATATAAATGCCCTTCTAATCTTCATAAAAAATACCTATAGGAAAATTATCGGGTCTTGTGTCCATGTTTCAAACGCAATCCAAAAGAATACGTTTGTAACCAACTCCCATTGCTTGATAAAAGATCCAAACAACACACGACACAATCATTCGTGGTTAGATAACAAAGCATTCATGGCCACAAAAGCAAGACAAAGTTCACAAATTCGATACATAATTTGTATATGCAAGAACAAAGATATAAAAATTGGGTGTATAAACTTTTAAATAAAACCATAAACAAGGTTGAGAATGCCACAATTAAGTCTTCACTCTTCAAGTAACAAAAAAAAAACGTTAGCAAATGCCCAAAAACAAATCAATTTGGGCATATATCTATTCATTCATTCTTCCAAGCATACAATGTCAAACAAAAACCAGGACAAGGCAACCTGGAGGGAACTATAAACGGATCAGAAAATGTTGCGCTTTTCTCAACACCAGAACAAGTCTGAAACATGAACACTGCACTTCCGGTTGTTGATCCAAACAACCAGTTATGCACATCCCAGTATACTTCCACCGGAAGTCCGTCAACGGCGATGGTGTAATTCCCTCGGAACTTCCATAGCAGACGCTTCACCTGCATCACTATCTTCTCGTCCAAACGGACCACCAGTCGAGGATCGAGGCCGCAGGTATCACACTCGATCCGGAGGTCATGGATCTTACCATTATCTTTGAATTGAGCTTTCGTAGCAAACACTTTCTTCCCAAAAATGTGTTCTCTTTTCAAAACACGGAACGAATTCGACAACCCATTTGTTTTCTTGAAGGTTTCTTTTCTTAGATCCCCAATTAACAAAACGATCTCACCTTTAAAAGCAAGAACCAAGTAGAAACCTTCAACGGGTTCCGGGCTGGATCCGAATTTAGCATTTGTAAGGTCCCAACAGACATCAATGGCGACGAAATCGACTTGAAGACGTCTGGAACCTTTTCTTTTTGAGAAAATCGAAGGCTTAACATCGAGTCTGGAGAGACATTTATTCGACAGATCTTCGATTTCAACACTAAAGCAATGACCCACAAGATTCTTGCTCCAAGTGATGATTATTAAACGAGATTTACCAAGCAATTTACACTGGTAAACACATGTGACTAAGTTTTGAGAAGCTTTCGCTTTACTTACAGTCGCTATTGCTGTTGTGGTTGAACTTGTACATGACACATCTGCAACTTGAACTCCATTTTCAGCAAAACAAGAGGGGAAATCCTTCATTCTCACAGGAATTCAAAATAAAAAAATAAAAAAATAATCCGTATCTACCATTCAGGTTGGATCTGGGAGAAGGGAGAAAGGAATGTAATGTAATATGTAGGTGAAGAGGGTTAGCAAATGAGTTAAATGGAGAGGAAATCTAAGAAGGCCATTTAAATAATGAGTAGAATTGGAGAAGATTGCTTGAGATTTGGAGTTAAATGAAAGAAGGGAATTGAAAAAGGAATAAAATAATGAAAGAACGACAGAGTGGTGGAATTGGCAGGAGTCTTTTGGCAAAAGAAGAAAGGAGAAAAGGAACTGAGAATGGAAGGGAGTGGGGGGAGTGGCAGAGGGGAGGGGTTTCGTGTATGTCACGTCCTACTCTCTCTGTCTTGGTCGTGCCAACCCACAAATTCGCTGGCCGGCCCCAAACCCTCTTTAATATTTATTTTGAGTTTGATTACAATATCTATCGGTATATCTTTACTCATCTTTGTTTTTCAATCTTAGAATATAGAGGAGAAAAAGTATTTTTGGTATATTTTTCCTCTATTTCTTTCCATATTCAATGATACATCGGAATAACTTTAATTTCCAGATTAGTTTATATATACATATGATAATTTAAATTAATTGTTTTTTTTTCTTTTAAAGGTAAAATGTATAATTATCAATAATTAAGCCATTTTTTCATTATTTTCCAAAGAACAACAAAATTTTGACATGATTCCACAAATAATCGTAAATTTTGCAGTAAGTTCAATGCAAAATGTCACTATGAAGTGTGAAATGATAGATTTGCCTATAAATAATATGGTTTTGACTAAAGTTGTATAAAAAACCGTTTCATGATCCGCAACCAGTTTTTAAATCGAAACCGATCTGATATAGATACCGGTGTGGGTGTGGTTGAAACCGATCCAACGGTTGATATTGGTTTGAGTATTTTATGATTGAAACCGGATTGAAAAATCGGTTTAGAAACCTGTTTTCAAACCTATAAAAAACAATTTTCATATAGTATAAAAATACTGTTTTCATCAATTTATTGTTTATACAATGTTTTGGAGGTTTCTCGAGACCAGTTTACACCCATTGTACTATTCCGAATGTCTGCGAAATATCTTTCTAACAAATAAAAATTGAAAAATATCGTTTTGAACCCCTAAACGGTCCTGAATGCGGTCAACCATTAAAGTTTCGTTAAACTCTGACACCAAAAGCAAGTTTGGAAAAATAAGAAGAAAATAGGTATTTTTCAAAATTAGTTTCAAAACGATCCTAACCGGTTCCTATAGGTTTATATATTTTTGATCGGAAACAAGTTCCTGGCTTCATTGAGTCAAACCTAACCGGTTTTAACGGTTTTAAAACCGATCCGATTCCCAAAAAACCGGTTTACCTACATTTTACAGTGGCCCACCTATGAAATGGGTCAATACTGTGAAAATGTATATATTGTGGAATGGGCATTGAGATAAATGTTATTGTGAAATATTCCATTAAGAAATGTCATTGCGGAATGGTTACTTGCGAAATTGTGATTATTAAATAAGAAATAGTCATTGAGAAAGGTCACTAAGAAATAGCCACCGTGAAAATGGCACTGCGAAATAGCTACTGATAAATAGGCATAGTGAAAATGTCAGGGCAAAATAATATATTACTAAGAAATTTTCAGTACATAGTGGTGTGACTCACAATCGAGGGGTGTGTCTAGCGGTTACGCTCTGATGTCCAAGTTATGAGTGTATTACTTGAGAGAGAGAGAGAGAGAGAGAGAGAGCTTTAAAGAGAATTAAGGAGTAAAATGTTACTTAGTGATACCTTATATGGAAGAGGTATTTATAGGGTGGATGAGGGGGACAATGTATGTTACCATATACAACTTATGTGTTTGTGTATGCTTTTTTGTAGTTAATTGTGGTTAGCGCATAGTCCGTTGATGGTAATGGATGAGATGTTTTTACGCCTCGACATTATTGTAGGACCAAGTGTGTCATAACTTACTCTGACCCTTGCTCGGGTTGTTGAGGAATCATTGATTGGCATGATTATTGGTTTAGGTTGGTTGGATTGTAGTCTGGCTTTCGAACCTATTAAGGGCGATACACTACTAAGAATGAGCATAACTCTGAGGCAATTGCTTCTCTCAATTTGTTGATAAACGCCTCCTTATCACGTTTATTATCAAGGGAAATATTAGATTATAGAGTAAATTGAAAATTTGGTCCCTGTAATTTACCAAAAAGGGCAGGTTGGGTCCCATTTGTTTTTGTCACTCGCACAGTTGGTCTAAAATTAAAACTTCTATGCAGATTTGGTCCATCGAGTTAATTAGTGTTATCTTTCTCCAGTTAGGTTGGTCACATGATCCACATGTGAGGGGATATTTGTATTTTTAGTAGTTTATTTCCTATTATTTTATTGCTTAAAACTAAAAACTCAATGCCCCCTCCCCCCACCCTCCCTACTCGAAATGTGATATCAATTAGAAATAGACATTTCTCTCTTATCACATCTCGAGAACCCAAAGCCATAGGAGCACCATCACGGGTGATATTAGATCATCGTCGCCAACATATATGTTTAGCTTTCGCTGGAAACCACTATACGGTCTCCGACTACCTCTTACATTCCCTACTATTTTCCAATGAAACCACTCAAATCCTCTGACAACCACCAGCACAACTTGTGAAGATCTGCAATTTGGATCAACCGGAAAAATCTAGAATTGTATTTAATCCTAGAAACCCGAATTGATCCCCTAGCGACCAACACCACACCTTCGAAATGATTGAGTCCCGGAAACCTAGATCAATTCTGGTAAGTTCCAACATCTTTGGCTATTTGATTTGATGAAGCTCCAATATTGTTTGGGCTGTGTATCGAGGTCTGAAGGGCTATGAGTAAAAGTGGTTGTGGTTGGTCAAGTTACACATTCAATTTTAATATTTCTCATCCCATCTATGTTCCAAAATTATCGATGGTCAATTTTTTGGTATTGATGTACGATAAGGGAGTCAAGAATCAATTATAACCCAAATATGCAAGTTAAGCGGGGTACGTGTTGTTGGTTCTATATGGTCAAGAATGATCATAAAATAATATTGTCAATAACAAATGATCATATAGGGTCACACCAATAACAAGTAGACACCAATTGATCATCTATCTAATGAATTTGATTCATAGTAAATTGTCATAACTTTTACATCTATTATTTTGTGATAAGTAATATTATATCTTAATTCATATGGTATGAAGTAATTTACGTGTGTTGGTTACATCATTTAAAGGTTAAACGATTTAAATAAATAGTATAACTTTATTTAATGTAAAAATTAAATTATATATATACACACACACACACACACACATATATATATATATATATATATATATATATATATATATAATCGATTTATATATGTATATATAAATACAAAGGTTATTTAAAATGACAGAAGTTTATATTTTATAAGGAGGTTAAATTAACTTTTATAATATATAAAAGTAAGAGTGTAAGACTCTCTCTCTCTCTCTCTCTCTCTCTCTCCTCTTTTAAATTTGTCCAACCACCTCCAAGGGAGGTCCAATGAGGTTTGTTTGCCTCTTATGTCTTCCAATGCATATTCTTGAATGGTTCAAGGCTTATAATTGAGTTGGATGACTTATAGATGGAGACTAATGATTAAAGACTTTATTTTCTCTCCATTTTATGAGGCTTGGACGAAAATACACTAACACACACATACACACACTCTTCTCTTCAAAAGTTTAGGAAGATAAATTACACACAATTTTACGCTCTTGAAACATCAAATTCGGATTTGATTTTCAAGCTTAAGAGTTTTGTGTCTTGGAAGAGTTAAGCTAGCATTCAGTGGTGTTGGAATCTTGTTGGTGGATTATATCTATAGAGGAACCCTTCCTTGTTCTCTTTCCATCTTCACCAACATTCCATCCTCCCGAGAGTATTCAAAGTGTAACATTCCGATGATGAGGTATTTTCAATTTTAAACCTAAGTATGTAGAATTGTTGCATTTTAACCCTTGTACATGAGAAAGCTTGCAAAATGGCCTATAGTGGCATTTTTGTAATATATTAGGCAGGCTCACATACACGGGGCGTACATGTGTGAGACGCTAACACTAATTTTTAGGGTTTCGCCTCTATTTAACCAACTTTATGGCCTCCAAACCTCATCTCACATCAGCCTCCAACATGTCACACCCCCAAACCAAGGATGGCGGAAACGTCCGGGGGTGGAGGATGTGACAATCGTCAATTTTTGGCCAAGTCAAAGTCAACTAAAGTCAACAAGTCAAACCGGTCAACTCATCTAACCCTTGTATATTAGGGTTTCCATCATGACTCTTATTGTACCTACTCGCAATCTTAATATAAAGTATCACTTAGAGTTTTCACGTGTTCGGAAATTCTAAACCCTAATCAGGGTAAGTGATGAATCTACTCGATAGGACATTATTCCATACCCCTCGAGAGCGTATAACACTCATAACAAGGCTTAACAGAGTGTAAGAACCTTGCATTGCGAAGCCAAACACTCAAAAAGGTCACAAAAGAAGTCTCTCCAAATCTCTTTCACTCTAACTCTCCCAAATCTCTCTCTGTATGAGAAATCTCTCCAAGAATGTCAAATCTCTCCCAAATCTCTCCAAGTATGTGAAATCTCTCCCAAATCTCTCTCTGTATGAGAAATCTCTCCAAGAATGTCAAATCTCTCCCAAATCTCTCCAAGTATGTGAAATCTCTCCCAAATCTCTCTTTGTATGAGAAATCTCTCCAAGAATGTCAAATCTCTCCAAGTATGTGAAATCTCTCCCAAATCTCTCTCTGTATGAGAAATCTCTCCAAGAATGTCAAATCTCTCCCAAATCTCTCTCTGTATGAGAAATCTCTCCAAGAATGTGAAATCTCTCCCAAATCTCTCCAAGTATGTCAAATCTCTCCCAAATCTCTCTCGAGATCTCTCTCAACTTTTTATAATCAC